ACCTCTACATTTTTTTCTATAAATTTTTTGTGGTATCCGTTACTAAGGCGTGACCATGAGACTTACTCAGCGGCTCAGCCTCGAATTAGTCACCCAGACGTAGGGGAGGGCGAATAACGCCTCGAGTAGCACAGATGGGTGACAGGGGTCGAGTGAAATACTTGAACCAGGGCATTAGCAGACGGATTCGACGGGGCAAGAGGGAGATTGTGATAAGACCTAGGGAAGGAGGACTGCGTAACAATATGACAGACTCGGATCAACATTCCCAGCTCAAGGATAAGGGAGTGAGAACGACAGCGTGAAGTGTGAAGGGTTTTCATGAATGTCGCTCAAAGGAGCCCACCGCACTACATCGAAATAATCACGGAAAAAATTGTTGCAGTTAAGTTGTGATAGGAGGATATAGGAAATGTGGATAGCCCAGGGCAGAAGGGGAGATACCACAACTGTTTAGCACACGTTTGGTCAAAGGATCGGCCTAACTTGTCTCTTTGACGAGTTGTTGTGTGGTGCTAAGAATGGCGAGACTGACTGACGATGCCAACTACGATGCGGGCGAAACGTCTGGGAATGTACTACCTCGACGGACAAGGTGCATTACTCTAAGCCTTCCTACCAATATGACCAAATTGCGAAAACAAGGTCAAACAACCTCTTTTCCACTTTTAAGTTTATTATGTTTGCGTGCGTTTAATCAATTTGGAGGCTCCTCAAAACATAGCAAAACTTTAGGATCCAAAAGGAATATCAGCCCTGATGCTTTTACCAGCAACAAAATATTTTTTTCAAAGGAAACAATAAAAGTTTATAACGAAATTTGTGAAGATATTATTTGAAATTTTTATCTTTCCTCAAATTGGATTTACCTTTACATAAGGATTCTTATTTTTGTCTTCGTTCACAGGCAGATTGTCCTTTGTTACTAAGAAATTTGATATTCAAATTAGACATACCGTCGAAAAGATCTTTAATTTTCTCCAAATACAATTCAAAATATGAAACCTATATTTGTGATAGTCACTCTAAAAATACGAACCTTTAACACAAATTCTAAATTTCCATCCATTTTTTCTATATGTTCAAAGATCTCTTCAATAATTCTCGGAATAATTCCTTGATGCTCGGGATCCTTCAACCTCCCCTCCATAGTATGCGTTTTTCCTGATGAAGTTTGACCATATACAAAGATGGTTCCATTGTAACCGTTGAGAACGGAGTCAACTATAGGCCTTCCTATCACCTCATAGGCTTGTTGTTGAGAGACGTTTGGTTGAAGGACACTGTCAAATGTGTACTGCTTTCCCTAGTAAAATTAGGGTACAAACAGAGTCTGTAGTATACACATATGATCGGCCATAAATATATATAAATTAAAACTCACTCCAACAGAAATGGCATTAGATCCAGGAAATGAGACGCACGTCGGGCTGTTTTTTGATTTCTCGAGAGCATTAAGTGGCCGAATCCGACAAATGACTCGTATTGACTCTCCCATTATTTTTTCTTGACTTTTCAAGGGATGGAAAGATGATTAACTTGAAAAAAAGCCTACTTATTATTCTAGCAATACAAGAATTACTTTTCAGGGTCTTTTATATAATTTCAAACGGGCCGTCCTTATTGATCGTTTACGAGAATTACTCTGATTAATCTCAATCTGAATACTGAGCTCTCATTTATTGCCCACTAGCAATCTTCAAATGCCTTGGAATTAAGCTGCAAAAATTGTATTATCAAGTGTTCTTATAGTCCGTTTGCCTGACTTTGTTTTTCACAACTTGGCCTTGCCTCTTAAATTAATTCGAAAAATTAATTACCTCCATTGTTAAAGCATTCCACTAAATTTTCGTTGTAACTTGTAAGGATGGACTCAGTTGACTTCCCGATTCTGAATGAATATCAGTACACTATCACATGACTGGCCTTCGTAAGAAAACGAGACCGAGAATAACTGTGAGGTGACTAAAATATAGAACAAGTAATTCCATTATTGTGGCTGCATTTGCAACTGAGAGTGGAAGGGACTTGTAAATTGGTTTCTCCACAAATCGAAATCGAATTTTTCTAAAACCTACAAATCCGTGCAGAGCTTTCGTCTGTCGTGATATGACAGGCATTATCAGAGCTTAAAACCATATCTACACAAATTCACCGAGTAATCCAACCATTTTTCATAACCTAACTTTGATTAGTAAATGAGGCATATTTTGTTGGTTTGACTTCGTTTTTGCAACTTGATCGGAACGACAGCGAGACTTGGTGTGGCTTACCTAATCCTACATCCTCTTTCATTGTATTCGGAATTTCCAGCATCGGACTATTTACTTGTTACATTCTCAAATGTTTCGCCGGCATCAGCATCGAGTTACAATTTATCAAAGCGACAAGTGAAGGCAATTTTCTTTACTAGTTTTATGTTCAACCGTTGTGGCATCACTCCTCGTCCCTATTTTTTAGCCTAACCTCTAGTACTGTATCTCGTTCTGTTAACACAATTTCATATTGATAGAAGTGGGTTGAACTCGTTGTCGCAACTTGGTCTTGTTTTCAGGAAGACCATGTAGAACCCACCTAGTCCGAAGTCGTCTGGCACACATTTTGATGATTGGAATGTAAACAAGTGAGAAGTTGTGATAGGGCGGTAGTGGGATAAGAGGGTAAAGAGTAGATAGATAGGCCAAGACAGAAAGGGGAGTGATAGTGTAACCGTTTCCAGCAGAATGGTTGTCGAGGGATTGACTTCACTTGTCTCTTTGACGAG